AACTTAAAGTTTTAGTTATTTAATTTTACCTTTCGGTCGACGAGTATAGTAAGAAATACAATAGTTATCATAAGAGCCGACTACTTTGTTGTATATATATATATATATATATATATAGCTTATATATATATATACATACGTACGATACGGAATTTTGGGCATGGCTGTGAGTTTGCAGGAAACTTCTTTTGTGTTGCTGCTTTCATACAAGGTTGTAAAAAAAAAGTATATTACTCATTTTAACCATTTTACTACTTTTCTGTCGAATATCACAAACCCTGACCATGAACTAACTGACCTGCACATGTTGTAGAATTTGTTTGATGCACCATTCACGAACTTGAACATACTTGTCTTCTAGCTTTTCCATGACAGTTTCTATTTCATCTATCAGGGAGAGTAGCATCATTGGAACGTTCATTACATTAACAGAATGGGATCCGCTAAGCCTAGGAAGACCTGGGAATCCGTTTTCTGTCTTAACCCAATCAATTATTTGGTCTATCATTGCAAGTCCTTCTATCTAAAAGAAAAAAAAAACTTTGAATCAGATTTCAGACAAATTTTAGCAATTGTATTCTTGAACACACCTCGTTAAAAACGCTTTTAACAAAGACACCTATGAAAATATAAAAGCAAAAGGCTAATTATGTGCGGATTAATAAATTATTGTAAAAATAACACAATTTCTCAGCGATAGCAACATTGCACATAGATGAATTGTAAAAACTTATTTCTGTCCTTAAAATGACTTTGACTATCATCAGTTGTGCTCAGTCTGATGGCTTGATCATATAACATTGCTCAACATCGCAATTTCCATTGTAACATATGCTTCTGCTGGGGCAACGTGACCAATGTTAGACTACATATATTGACTGACAAATTATCTACAGACCCTCTACTGCATACGGACGTTTGGTACGAAAAATATGATTAAGCAGACTGAAAACAAAAAGTCCACTGGAGCTACACTTAGAAAGTTCACATGTACGTGTTCAAATGGAATTGTTGTGATTCCAATTCGTTTGGTCACTTTTATCATGAAAACAGCCGCTGAGTCAAGTCTGAGATGAGGCCAGAAACTTTTTAACTTTTCTTGACTTCCAACTTTTGTTATATCGTTATTGATACCAGGAGGTATATCCAGTTTCATTGGAATGTTTTTTATTGGAAAGTTTTCTTTCGTAATGACCCCCATCCTGTGGCACAGAAGTATGTCTGCAGACTTTCAACGCTAGAAACTGGGTTTCGATACCTGTGATTGGCAGAACTCAGGTAGCCCATTGTGTAACTTTGTGCGTAACTTCAAACAAACAAACTCTTTCTTAATTATAGCCTTCATTTTGTGAAAAAGATAGATTGGGTTGGGGTGTGGTTTTGGTGTTCATTATTGTTTCAAATGCTCTACTGGACAAGTTTTTTCGATTCACGAAAAACATCAAATGCTTTCTTTTCTAAATATTGTGTATTTTGTTCTACATTTTGTTCTAGAAATGTTGCTCTATTAATATTTATGTTCATATAGACTTTTTATGATCCTTCAGCCACAAGTTTATTGTTAAATGGACTGAGATATTCTGCGAACTAAATATGTAAGTGCTTAAAATGTCGTCTGTGGTGCTACTGTTGACATCTATGGCGGTAAACCACCTTATTTTGCAAAATTTTTTAACTAGAGTGTGATTAACCTACTGTAGTTTTCAGTAAAGACTGATATTTAACATATAATCAAATGACGTTGGTAATTTTGTTACCAAGTATTTCTCGTCTTTTGTTGCTCTTCCAAGCTCCAACAAACCCAAAGAGTAAAAGCATTCTGTGAATATTGTTCTTTGGATCTTTACCGGTTGACCCTCTCTTGTAACCAAGAAATAACACTTTTTTGACTTCTTGTCTTTCAAGTTTGCCATCATGAAATCAGCCCCTCGAATGGCAGCATTCAGAATTTTAGAATTTCTGTAGCGGTCCAACTCATTGTAGAGTCGGCTATACATCCACACCTGAATGAAAAAAGAAAAAAAAATTGGATTGAAAAGTCTGTTAGCCAAACATTAGTAATGTGAAACTCTGTAGATAGTGAAACATGTATGATTACTTACAAAATTAAATCGATAATGATTTAAGCGGAACGTCTGCTCTACCTTCTTTGTCCTGGCAGTAAATATGGTTTGTCAGAAGTGTGGCTACTCAGATCGATTTCAATTCAAATAAAAATTATAAACTACTTCCTTCTTTCGTATCTACTTCCTTTCAGGCAAATTAACTTTGATGAAAAATCAAACCTGTGATGAGATTTAGGTAACTATATTATTTGAAACATTTGTAATCAACCCGTCATGCAGTTTAGAGCCCTAAATAAGAGCTATGTAACAGCTGTTGAAAGAAGTTAAGCTATATGGGCTTAAGTTGGCCAAATAATAGTTTATCCATTTTTCATTTATCTATAGATAAGTTAAGCATCTGTAAACTTTAAAACCTTAATTACTAAAATATCTTTATGGAAAGAATACATTTTGTATAACTATAATGTAAAACCACAACTAAGACATGTCTGTGGAAGAAACACTTACAATTATTAGGTTTAAGTAATATATTTTGCAGATTTATGTTTAGATCCATGGCTCAGTAACACATACTAAGCTATAATATTTAGGCCTGAATCACTTGTCAAGTTGAAAGAACTATACTGTATTTCTTGTTATTTTAATAATGTTCACTTTTTTCAGTAGTTTCATATTACAAAATATTTAGGTACCAAATTGGTTCTTTCTTTTGTTTCCTAATAAAGTGCATCTCACACTTTTGAGATAGCACTTAACATGGTTAATATTAATGTTGCTTTCTGACAATATTTTGTTAAATTACATATATAACAGTAAACTAATTCAACAACTCACTTGTCTTCCTTGTAGCCATCCAAACTTTAGGGTATCGTAAAGTTGGCCATTTTTTCCGATACAAGAGAAAAAACCCCTATAAGTAAAGCATTTATTCAAATCCACATAATTTTCAATTTAAATAGTAATTGTTACAAATAATCTTAAGAGCAACAAACTTAAAATAATGTCTGATTTGTCCTATGACCATGAATAACCGAAGTTCAATCTGGTGGTGGTTTTCAAACAGTAACCAAATATCTCACAGCATCTTTATTGACATTCGTCATGGGGATGAAATCAAAGTTTCATAAAA